ACTAGTGTAAACCAGCCCCAAAACTGATAGTTCCCTTCACAGATATGTAAAATGACACTATTGCGTTTGTCTTTTGTTCCAAAACATGAAACATTTTTCAGTCGTTTATTTTGCTGTAAAGTATGCTTTGGTTTGGCAGTTTGTAATCGTGCTTGTGGACAAGACCGAAATTCAGAACACCCCGTTAACCATTTACTGGTTCGGGAAAGGTGATAAGATCTTTGTCATGATGACACTTAACGAAATTTCCATCACCCTTCTTGAGGTAAGGTGAGGTGAAATTGGGTTCAACGTCGCGTCCAAGATTATTGCACTTATATAGCGACGTGCATGTGTACGTGTGTGTGTGGCTGTTTGTACTAGTCCGGACTGATGCCGATGTATAGTGCTAGCACACTGAGATACCATGCCGCAGTTTAACATGAATACCCAACTCAGACACAGTATACTGACTCCGAGCCGACCAGTCCTTGTTGTAGCCCTTTAATGCCGAGCGCCAGACAGGGTGACAACAAGTACCATCTTTTAACGTCTTTTGGTATGACGCGGTCGGGGATCGAACCCCGGACCTTCCGCTCTCCGGGCGGACGCTCTACCACTAGACCACGGAGGCGGTCTCACCCTTCTTGAACATGTCCGTAAATAGCAATGGAATTTAACATGGAGATCGAATCAACCAGCCAACTCAACTAGACGTCCTAGTCCATGAACAAAACTCTTGACCATTGTATGACCCTCCATATCACGGGTTGTTCTATCACAATACTGAGTGCCAGCCTCTGTGGTCTAGTGAGTAAGCGTCTGCCTGGAGAGCGGAAGGTCGGGGTTTCCATACCTGACCGCGTCATTCAAAAATACATTCAAACAAGGTACTTTCTGTTACCCTGGCTGGCGCTTGGAATAAAGGGTTTGTGCATGAACATCACTATATCAGAGACGTTAAACCCAATTTCACCTCACCTCACGCCATTGAGTATATTTTTGCGTTTGCATAGTATATAGCACGGGTTCTCTGCTTTGACCTTTTTATTTCCCTCCATCTAGCATGTAGAAATTGTGGTTGTGTTTACATAATTGTGGTTGTCAGTAGCATGGCGGATAGTGTCTCCAGTGGCGAGGTAGTTTATTGAGACATCAAGATTTGCCTGTATGTAAACACACTTTAGAGCAGTGTGCGTTAATGTTATAGAGGTGTATGTTATAAAGAAGACACAACTTGTTCATTACAGACCAATAATATTGGGGCACTTTTCAGGCCCTTAAAGTCGTCTTTCTGAACGTATTTGTAAATTCTGTAGCCTCCGCGGTGTTGAATATGAATCTTTTTTACGGGCTTTTATACCGTATTATTCTGTTAAGATAGTGTCCTATAGGCCTTATTGGCCGGGCGGGATATTATATTTGTCTGTTAATTGTTTTAAGCCCAGAGTAACATATATCATGTGAGACATAATAAAAAATCATCTTTTTTTGTTATAAGTTGATGGAAACTGTATATGCAGAATGTTGCTGAAATTGTAGCTAACTAATTTATGATTTTGAAAGTTCAATATAAATATGTGGTTTTGCTTCTCTTATTTATATATTTGACAATCTAGAAATATTCTTTGCATGACATTTCCAAATGTCAAGCATCAGTGACCGAGAGCTAGCACTATAAATCGATAAATCGGCATCAGTCCGGACTAGTACAAGCAGCCACACACACGTGCATGTACGTCGCTATATTAGTGCAATAATTTGGACATTAAACCCAATTTCATCTCACCTCACCTCACCCTGTGGTATCGGAGAGCACAAACATTGAAATTAATTTAACAGTATGCACATGCATGATAACAGATATGTATACAGTCAGGTTACAGATAGAGAATAGGCGTCAGCTGCCATGAGCTTATTTCTCTGCTGACTATGCTTATGATTTGAGCCCATGTGTCTCGTGTCATCTCCTCTACAAGATGCGTAATGCCACCCAGTAGTGTCTGTACAATCTTCTATCTTAAGATATTTGTTAAAGGGGAAGTGTACACGCAAAAATCACTTTCTTTCTTTTTCTAAACAAAACGCAATTTTAGAATTAATTAGTATCTGTGTTTGAAAATATACACTCATTTTTTTCACAGTGAAAGTAGGAAGCTCACAATAGTGTGAAAATGATATGCCGTTATGAGGCCTTCGTTTTTCGAGCTAAACAGGCCTGAGTTATCCCCCTTAGATTATGACGTAATTGGTGCCAATTCAACTGGGTCCCTGTCTATTCTCAACGCAAAAGATATCAAGTACCAATTTGCGGTAAAACAACATGGCCTACGACACACTCCGGCGCAGTGGTGACTCAGCATAACACTATGCTGGCTGGCATCTGAGACGCTAGAATCACACACCTAGACCTACACCACGTGAAGCGGCTCTAACAAAGCATGATGACGTCATAATGTTTATCAATTGGCACCAATGACGTCATATTGCAAGGGGCATAAGCCATGGTGTTTTTGTTGTGGAAATAGAACACTTGGTAAATGTGAAAAATATAAATCGTTTTAATGCGAAAAATATGTTAATTAATTGTGATATTTTTATATTTTTGTCTATGACACTTTTAGGTTAACACTTTTAATGTGGAAAAAGTACAAGAAAAATAGGTTAATTTCCGTGTGAACTTGCCCTTTAAGGCCGAGTAAATCAAACAGTTTCTCATAGCGGTTATTTCTTTCTTGCACCAGACTGTCACAGTTTACTAACTGGTGCAGTACAACATCGTTAAATTCTTCTTTAAACATCAAACATATACCAGTTGTTATAGGTAAAATACCTAGTTAGACCCGTGAAGATCCGGGGTAGAATAGCTCTTCAGCAACCTATGCTTGCTGTAAAAGGCGACTATGCTTGTCGTAAGAAGCGACCAACGGGATCGACTGGTCAGGCTCGCTGACTTGGTTGAGGCATGTCATCGATCCCAGTTCCGTGGATCGATGCTAATGATATCAATCACTGGGTTGTCTGGTCGAGACTCGATTATTTACAGACCGCCGTCATATAGCTATAACATTGCTGAGTGTGGCATAAAACAACAAACCAACCAGCCAACCTAGTTAACTAGAGCACATATAGGCCTGCTATTCATAGTGTAAAGGTCACACATATTCCACAATCTGTGCGGAGCTAGTCTTCCATATATCATATATTAATGGACATTTTCCATCTTTCCAACTTGTTACTGTGTAGAAAAAAAGCCATTTTTATTTGCTTTTTACCCAAGTTTTAAACTTGTTTTACATGTGAACACACATGCATGCGTATCGCTGTATACATTTAATAATCTTGAAGGCGACTTGAAACCCCATTTCATCCCGCCTCTTTATCCATTTGCTTGGCTATGATAACAGAAAATGCTTATGGATTTGCCAGTCTTCCTTCTGTAATTTAGAGTGGAGATGTCTAACCCTTTTTATCCTGACTCATTGCGTTGAATCGGCACCCAAAAGTGATTAAAAAAGCCTGTCCTGGGCCCATCGTGTGCATACATACTCAATGACAAAAGGACACCTACCAATGACTTTATTATTATCTGTTGCCTGGGAGTAGACACATCAGACGCTTGACGTACATTTCCCTGGACCTATCAGAAATCTTTAGAATTGTGTACATCATCCCTCTTGTATGTTAATATTGATATTGATTTATTGTAATAAACCAGTTTTCGAAATGACATTTTTCCCCAGTTGCCACAAGACATTTTTCAAAATCAGTTTTTTTTACGTTTCTAGGTTAAGTATTTTATATTCCAGGATCAGATAGCCGAAAGCTATGGGAGCCGTGCCTATTTACACTTGTCAGAGGGGTACTCCAAGTACGTTATCTAGACTACCAGTTGTCGGACTTCCATTTTTGTGGAAGCCTCGGTGGCTGAGTGGGCTAGATCGCTGCGTTTGTGTGCTGGCGATTAGGTGCCTCACTCTGGCAGTGTGGGTTCGAATCCCGGACGGGACTCAACCCAAAAAAGTACTAGGATCTGTACTTTACTAAGAAAGTGTTATCCCAAATATAACATTTGTTACAAACGCTGGTTCTTTGCTGATGACATCAATCTTTGATCTAACACCCACCTATTGGCAAAGCAGCCAAATTATGACGCCCTGCTAGCTATAAGGATGTCTGGAACATCCGAGTGGCGCTGTAGTCAAAAGCTCCACAATCATTTTGTCACCGTTGGGCGTGTCAGAAAACAATGATCAAAGACTCGAATCCCAATTGATTAGTCCTGATTATGTTTTTGTTCGTCAGCACCATACCCGCTCGTGACTTTCACCAAAGTAATAATTCTCATTTTGAGCTCTCCTCCGTCATCAAGTTGACATGCATTAAGATATCAAGATATAGTACTCGCGGGAAGTAAAAGAACACCCGATTCATTCATATAACTATAGTTAATCTGGCATGACATATGAAAGAATCAGGTGTTCTTTAACTTCTTTTGAGTATTTGAATTCTGTTCCAGATGTCGCTAATACAAACTCACTCACTCACTCACTCGATAGTGGATACTGAGCCTGGGAACAACCCGAGGATCATAAGTCAAACCAACCGTCAGCTGTAAGCTGATATGTCTTTTGACTAATACCAGGCATCAACGAACCCAATTAAAAGCTAAGATTGTTCCCATCTTGTTTCGGTTCAGTTTGCGCGTCGTATGTACATGTTGCTGGCCTAGACCCGACACTCCACTCACTTCACATGACCTGCAACATGATATCCATTACTCGTGTCACGCCTGCAACATGATATCCACTAACTGGTTGGCGATGACAGTTAGATATAATTACATTCAAAACATAACCGAAAACCGTGAGTACATGCATCACACAAACAAAAATATACATTGGCAAAGGGATTTTAATAAAGTATCTTTCTCGATCCTGATCTAAAAACACGTAGTATGGTTAACGAGGTTATGTTGTTGCCAATGTCATGCCTTGCAGTCTATATTGTATTGGGAGAGATTAATACACTCCACTCATTGCACAGAAGAAGACCAGGGTGGCAACGATATTGATAAGGGTGAACACCTTGAAGCCAAGTATGTCCAGAGCAGTAGCAACATCCGACCCGAGAACCACCTTAACCTCCGTGGCTTCCCCATGTTTTTCAGGAACCTGATCAGGAGATTTGACTTTGACCATCTCACCTGCAAGTGTCTGGATCTTCTTTTCTGACACGAGGAAGGTCAGCAAGCGGGTTGTCCTGATGTAGCTGGGGTTGTGGTGGTGGAAGGCGAGGTTTACAACAGTGATGATGGTGGCGGCCACGCTGAGAAAGATTTCGGTAGCTAGATAGGCACTGAAGTAACAAACGCCATCTGAGTTCTCGGGAAGAGCGTCGTTGACGAGAGTGAGGAACACAGCATAGGACAGCATCACAGAGATGCAGAGAGTGATTTTCTCCCCCGAGTTGGCAGGCACAGCAAAGACGAGGGAGTTCAGGAGAGACAGAAACACTATAGGCAGGATCATATTGACCGCGTAGAACAGGGTTTTACGTTTCATGTTTAAGGTGTAGTCAACCCGGAAATGTCGGGCTTTGTCTACCCATACCTTTTGTGGAACTATGTCAGACAGCTCCCATTCTCCATTTTCATCGTATTTCCTCAGAGAAACAGGCACTGGAGCCAGATCAAGGTTTACAATCTTCTTTTCACAGCTCAACGGCTGCAGGATCATCTTGCAGGCCTGAGTGTCGAAAGGGTAATGGCGGACATCTATCTTGCAGTAGGTCTTGTAAAAGTCGCCAGGAAACCACACTATGGTACCACTTGACTCCAGATACACCTTCAAGTTCCTGTTACCAATTTGGCCATAGTTCGCCACGGCGTTCTGCAGGATGACGTCGGGGAGCCAAAGCATCTCTGTAGGAACATAGATGACCTCTGTGTTGTATTCCCTTGCATCCCATTCTAGAAGAGGCTCCTTCCACGTCAGACCAAACATTCCAGACAGACTCAAAACTTGATCCTTTTCGTTGAGATCCACCAACGAGTACATATTAAACCAGATTTCAATGGCCCAGTCCGGGGAATTGTTATGGTTTGGCCATACCAGAGGGTCGTAATTCCTGAAAATATCCTTAAACAGTTGACTCTCGTTCTTTGATACTGCCAAAGACTCTGTCTTCGATATTGCTGCATGACCCACTGGTACAAGTACGATAAGCACACCCAGAAACATGTTGTGTGAACGTTGTATGAACTAATGACGTCTACCAAAGGCGCTTATACATATGATCAAAACCGTTTGCTTTGAAGTCTCCAGTCAAAAGGGGAGAGTGGAGGGTACTCGAAGTCGGGATGAGTCTTATAACATAGGTGGTATTCACACGACTTCAGACATAGTTACATCTTCCAATTGTTATGTGTTGTGTCAATCATTATTGAAATTACCTAATTCCCTTACATCAACTCCCGAGAGAATAAACAACATTAAAAGTATGAATATTATCCCATGGGGAATAGTAGACTCGTCTTCTCACAATTAGCCCAGACTGTGGTAGTTTGAAGTACTTAATGGCACACTATCCCAACCCACTTAATAATAGCCATAACTATTGGCTTGTCGTGATTCAGTACAATTGCAAATGCTTAATCATTCTGACTTGACGGCAAACCAATGTCAATTAATTTATTTTCGCCTGCGTGATTGGGGCGAAAGGTGAAAACAAAACCATTGTGTCAAAACTGCTCTTGCATTACTGTCGTGTTAATTGTACAATAAACATACTGGCACACGCTGGCGAGGTAAAATAACCCCAGCGATGAATATAGAATGATCGAATGTGCCCACATTAAAGAAACATTTAATAGCTCTTCATTAGAAGGATTATCAATAATGGGATTGGTGAAGAGTTCAAATACACGACGAGGTGATAGTCTAAACGTTCTGATTAACAATAATACTCTCAGTCAATACAATTGTCAAATGTTTACAATATATTACCCGTAGGAATTGGAACATATTATTGGTACACGTCTATCTGTTTAATGGACAAATTGTCTTTCGTGTTCGGTAATAATGAGGACTGGCATGACTGTCTGTATTATGTTTCTGTGGTTTATGTTTAGGTGAACAGTTGACTTGTCTCTGCATCTGTTTGTGAGGGATTCAACCTGGTGAAAGGCTTCGGGCTTTCATCCCGCATCCCGCGATATAACGGAAACACGGTTTAAAGTGGAGTTGAACTCACTCACTGTATTGCGTGTTACTGCAACCGTCACAATTGTGTGTAGTGATGTAATGTACTATGTACCAGATAGTATGGTCAACTATCCAGTTGAGTTAATTTGAATATACTTGCGTCAGTGTGTATCTTATCTACGCCCTAAATCGTATTTGAAACACATATTATAACAGATCAAATACATGCATTGTTCGATGTACTAACTACTATGTACTCACTGGTCGGAATATGCTGGGATCTTAGCAGAGATTGTGGCGTTTGAAGTTTTTAAAAGTTTTTTTTTTAACATTTTTGTTTGAATTCAGTAGACATAAATGTAACATTGGTACATGAGATATATAAGTATAGCAATACACAGAATGTTAAAACATGATCAGATATGGGTAGGTACATATATTGATTAATTGAGAAATGATAATATGTAGTCTGATAATTCCTTCCATTTTCTGTCGAATCTATTAATACTACTAATTTTCATTGCGATACTTTTTTTCTATTTTACATACATCTTTCAATATTTTTATGAAAAAAGTTACGTTCCATTTATAGGCCCTTTGCTGGCCTTCATGCTGGACCATGCCACAGGATGACAGTTGATGACGAATGTCCATAAGATGACGAGCTGACGACGCATGTATCATTCCAAAAAAAGGAAAATAAAAACAGTAACACAAATAAATCTACTCATCTTTTAATTACAAGACTTATAAACCTAACATCAACATTTCAAATTGCATTTAAGCATTTTGATGTTATGAAATGTTATTATATTTAAACATTTATCATTCTTGTTTCCAGCTTTAAATTTGGAGTCTATTTTCCAATATATCTGCAATGTATTTATAATATATTGTCCGAGTTATTCTAGCATTTCTATGCAGCTGTATATGGTTAGGCGGTCGGTTTGGTAGCCTAGTGGTTAGGTCTTCTTCGGCCTACAGTGCAGTTCGCCTACAGTCACTTTACAGAAATAGTGATAACTTGTGGTAGTTCGCCTACACTAAATAATTACATCCCTTTGTTGGTAATGGATCTGTCCCAACACCAGCCAGGTTTGTTTTGTTTTGTTTGTTTGTTGTTTTACGCCGCACTCAGCAATATTCCAGCTATGTGATGGCGGTCTGTAACCAGTCTGGAGTCTGGACCAGACAATCCAGTGATTGACATCATGTGCATCGATCCACGCAATTGGGACCGACGACATGCATCAACCAAGTCAGCGAGCCTGACCACCCGATCCCGTTAGTCGCCTTGTACGACAAGCATAGTCGCCTTTTACGGCAAGCATGGGTTGCTGAAGACCTACTCTACCCCGGAGTCTTCACGGGTCACCAGCCGGGTGTATAGGTCGAGGTGCATACAGAGTTGATAATGTGTTATGTGGTAGATACTAAAAATGAAATATTTTGTTCCTGAACATGGAGTAGAGGCTAAATAAGACAAGATACCAATGGATAGAACTGATACAAAACAACAAGAAATTTATGAAAGAAACAACACTATCTCCTGAGTAGATTCCCACAGTTATTTAGTAACACAAGACCACTGATCATATAACATATATTTACAATTACTAACAATAACAAGGGCAATTTTGATTGTAAGTAACTAAAAGACTCAATAATAGCCAATCCTAATCACTATATTTGCTGTGTTATGTGAAGCAGCATCTCATATACTGTAAATATGGAAATTAATTTGTCTCCAAATTAATACGACTGCTGACCCCTAGACAAAAGTGCGACTCAATATCAATATGACTCCCCCACCCCTCTCTATCCCCAGTGAAATGATACATATATATCCTCAGGTTTTAAAATCCAATCAATCAGCAAATAGCGTAGAGCACTTTTGTAAAAAACAATAAACAGTTTTTTTCCTAAAAACAACACACAGTTTATATGTTTACTCGGTTGACTGGCATTAAGGAATTTCAAAGGCAATAAAATAATTGAACCAACAACAGTTCACTGATTGGTATGCGGATAAGGTGTCAACAAGCTTGACACGAGTGGGTAGTACTCTAGACCCTATAGCATTGATAACTCACCGGATGCCCATCGTGTAATTCCTATTCTTTGTTTGTTTTTTGTTTTCTTGTTTTCTCGCCGCACTCAGAAATATTCAAGCTATATGACGGCGGTCTGTAAATAATCGAGTTTGGACCAGACATTCAAATGACGATATCATGAGCATCCATCCACACAATTCTTTGAATGACATTGTTATATACTATGTAAATATATATAGGGGAGAGATATCTGATCTCAATAAACATGGTCTAGTTTGACTTCTTGGCGCGTGTCTGAATTCTAACGACAGGTCACATGTCCTGAGTGAGTAAGTGAGTGAGTGAGTGAGTGAGTGAGTGAGTGAGTGAGTGAGTGAGTGAGTGAGTGAGTGAGTGAGTGAGTGAGTGAGTGAGTGAGTGAGTGAGTGAGTGAGTGAGTGAGTGAGTGAGTGAGTGAGTGAGTGAGTGAGTGAGTGAGTGAGTGAGTGAGTGAGTGAGTGAGTGAGTGAGTGAGTGAGTGAGTGAGTGAGTGAGTGAGTGAGTGAGTGAGTGAGTGAGTGAGTGAGTGAGTGAGTGAGTGAGTGAGTGAGTGAGTGAGTGAGTGAGTGAGTGAGTGAGTGAGTGAGTGAGTGAGTGAGTGAGTGAGTGAGTGAGTGAGTGAGTGAGTGAGTGAGTGAGTGAGTGAGTGAGTGAGTGAGTGAGTGAGTGAGTGAGTGAGTGAGTGAGTGAGTGAGTGAGTGAGTGAGTGAGTGAGTGAGTGAGTGAGTGAGTGAGTGAGTGAGTGAGTGAGTGAGTGAGTGAGTGAGTGTGTGTGTGTGTGTGTGTGTGTGTGTGTGTGTGTCGGTTTAACGCCGCTTTGAGCAATATTCCAGCAATATCACGGCGGAGGACACCAGAAATGGGCTTCACACATTGTACCCATGTCAGGAATCGAACCCGGGTCTTTGGCGTGACGAGCGAACGCTTTAACCACGAGGCTCCCCGACCGCCCCACATGTCCTGAGAGTAACTTATCGACAGCTATCGCGGAACTCCCCGGGACAGAGAGCCATACCACCGCTGCCAATACTTGGATGCTATTGGTCATCTTTTGAAACTTAGCTAGTGACTAATTGTGATTATCTTCTGACTGATTAGTAAAATAAAATGCATATAAATATTATTGGGGTTATTCCATTAAAATGACCAAGGTAACAGGCAGGGGTTGAGGTGTGCATTCAACTGTGAACTTTGTTGTCATAAACTGTAGGTGTTTTGGCATGTAGGCGTTTTGGGAGGACACCCTCGATCCTAAAGGATGCCCGGACATCACATGCGTCATCACATTTGTACAAGGCCGATCAAAAAGGTATCGTCTTTTCGTCATCGTTACACTTGAGAAACTAGGTACCGGGCAATCACATGCTATCTTGTTTGACATGATGCGAGTCCTATTTGATGAACATAATTCCGTAGACATAGATTCTGTAGATTAGGGATCGGCTCGTCCAGTCGTCTGAAGGGCAGCAATTCGCTTTGAATAATTTTAAATGCACCCCTTAGCCAGCAGGGGGCGGTCGGGTAGCCTAGTGGTTAAAGCGTTCGCTCGTCACGCCGAAGACCCGGGTTCGATTCCTGACATGGGTACAATGTGTGAAGCCCATTTCTGGTGTCCTCCGCCGTGATATTGCTGGAATATTGCTAAAGGCGTCGTAAAAACAAACTCACTCACTCACTTAGCCAGCAGGTCAGAATCCACTGATAGTTGGTTCGAGTTCTAGATTCTCTCCATTTATAATCCTCGGGCCATTATTGACCATC